AAATTAGTGAAGTTTAATTCAACATTGGCTATTGAAATCCCCCAACCCTCCTTTGTAATACTAAATCAACTCCACGTAGAAAAATTAATTTTGCTTTATAATTCAGCCAACCCTATAGCTACACCATCAAAGGTACGTATGTTCCTTTCCAACCAAATTTCCCATATAATAGCACCCTCAAAATATCCCGTAGCAGAATGCCTATCTTTGGTAGCCTGGAATCTTCAGTTGACTCATTAAGTGACTAATCGAGGATTGGATAGGTAAATGCATGCCTATTTTATGCATTGCTCAATACCATAAGAGAGAGAGAGAGAGAGAGAATGGCGAAGAGAAACAAAATAGAGGCACCAGATCTGATCTAGAATTTTCATATTTGATTTGAGGGTCAGATCCTATATTGAAAAATGAAAATAATATTTTCTGAGTATGGAAAGAGATCAAGATGGTGTATGGAAGATTAGGGTTTATAAAAGAAAAGTGGTGATAATCAAGAACAAAAGGAAGTAGGATCAAGGTTTGGATTTGAGTCTGAGATAAGAAAAAGTTAGAATCAGGAAGGGAAAGAAATAGAATTGAGGTTTGTAGAAGATCATGGTTTGTAGAACGAAATAATTAGAATCGAGAAGAAAAAGTATTAACTATTAAAGTTTTGATATGAGGACAGGAAAAAATTACAATCAGGAAGGGAAAGAAATAGAATCAGGGTTCAATGTTATCAATAAAAGCCTCTTGAACCAATATCGTACAAACAAGTTTTGATGCCGTGAAAGAAAGGAACAGAGTATAGGGGATATACTGAAGTAGAGGAGGAGAGTATCTCAATCTGAAATGGTTCGTCAAAAGCTGACCTGATTGGTCTCAGATGTCCTTATGTTCATGTATATATATTGTTGACAATACAATATGGCCATGGCAATATAAAAAATTACACAAAAAATAAATAAAACGAACAAAATTTTCTTATTTACTAGTCTGTCTCTGTATGTCACATCTGTAATAGGTTTCTGAATTGCTTGCCACGTGGCAGTGATTGGCGTGTTAATGGCTGATGCATGTTTACAACTAGGTATGGTCGAGGGTTCCATGGGATGGACTTTGGCAGGAAATAATCAACAAACCTGATTGGACAAATCAGGACACTCCAGGAGCCACTCTGTGGGAATAACTGTGATGCAAATTTGTCTGTGGGTAAACGGTCATGAGTAATATGAGTTATTCATTTGACTCATTATGTTTCCTAATGTCATCTTTTTTGTTGTGGAGAGGGATTGGGGTTGGGGGGAGGGAGGGGGGGGGGGGTGGGGGGTGTAAATGTTGACAATATATTATGAATAGAAGTATTTACGCATTTTCTCAAGAGTTTTGACTGAGGCAGCTCAAAGCCATGTGCTCTACAATTCAAAAACTGATGACCCAAAAAATGAAAGATTAAAAATGAGATGACTAGAGGCTACCCACAAAGTAGGAGCTTAAAAAATGATTCTAATATCTTTATAGTATGCATTTTATATGACTAATATTTCTCCAAATTTCAAAATTGTGCTCAAACATTAGTGTACTTGAACCAAGCTGAACAAGGATGTAGGATTCTGTTGTCTTCTTAATTGAAGGCTTGCATGCAGGTTGTGTCTGCAGCTAACTGTTATGTATTGAGGTTTTGTTGGGCTGATGAAGTGCGGATCTATGTGGCCATGGTCTTTGCCTTGATATGCAGGTGTTGTCTGAGGCTAACCCTTAAGTAATGAGGTTTTGATGGGCCCATGAAGTGTGTATCCATGTAGTTATGGTCTTTGCCTTGATTGTCTTTCTCTTGAGGGAGGGTTGTGGTCGGGTGTAAAAGCTTTTCATGGACATTTTAAAACCTCACCTTTCTATTGATTCCTATCAGTATGTGTTTGTACATATGCAAGCTCTATTAATTTTTTCTTGCTCAACCATAGAATTCAACTTAACACTCATGTCTATGTTAAAACTTTTTGGCCTTTTTTTTCTCATTTATTGTGGTCAAAACCCATATGCGTGAATGTGTTACCTTTTTTGGGAGGTGTGAGGGGCAATTGCATTTATATCAAGGCTATTTGTAGGATATGATAAATAACCAATAATGGATTCCTCTTTTGATCTTGAGCATTGCTTACTTTTAAGTTTTCTAAATTCATGATTTAGTAGGAAATGATTCTCTTATGTCGAATCTATTGGAATGATGATTTTTGTGGGCCACCAAGTTTCTTCTTCTGTTATTTTGGATGTACTAATATTTTGGAAGTACAACGTCATCTCCACAATGCGGGGGATGTGGCTGTTAGTAGTAGGTTCTTGTATTTGGATCCTTGCTAGACTTTATCTCATTCGTGGGAGGCTGGTTTACTAATATTAGTTTCTGTCCATGATGTAAACTGCATGTACTAATATTTTGGAAGTAGTACGTCACAATAAGGAGGATGTGGTTGTTAGTAGTAGGGTTCTTGTATTTGGATTCTTGCTAGACTTTATCTCACTCTTGGGAGGCTGGTTTACTAATATTAATTTCTGTCCATGATGTAAGCTGCATGTCTTATGGTGTCATATTTCCTCATGAAATTGGATACTAGGTGAGCCCTTCTCCAAAATCTTTGGGGAGATTCATCACGGTGTATCATCATCTCAGAGAATAGTGATGGAGATCAATGATGTGCTTTCTTTAGTTTGTCTTAACTAATTCATGGAAATGCTGTTGTACTATTCACTTCACCACTTTTAAATTTGCAATATATTGATTTCTTTGGTTTCTACTTCATTGATAATTCTGTGGATTCTCTGGATTTAAGCATTGTATGGGCAGCGATAATGCGGCTTCCATATATAAATATTTTCTCACTGAATTTTTATTTAGCTTGTGTTTATTGTTTTTTAATACTTATGCAGTGGCGTCCACTGAGGGCAAATCTGGGATCTCTTGGCAATGCCAATATCACAGCATCATTCTTTGGGAGATTCGATTACAGCAGCGCAACGGTATTTGAATCCTGCAATATCTTAAAATTTGTAATTTCCGAAATTTAATGTTATGGCTCTTATTTCTAGGTTTCTATTTATTGAAATCCTCATTTTCAGCTGTGTAATACAGATAAATCTATACCCTATGTCTTCAAGAACTTATAGTTTTTTAGCTTGAAGTGTTTTTCCGTGATGCGGTTAGTGGCCGCTTTTCAAAGATATCATATTGCATGATCTTGCTTTAACATTTTAGTTCTTTGGCTTGAGTATTACTGATAAATTTTGCTCTAATTTCATTTTCGATTGTAGTCATTTGTTATACGTCATTTGAAGTTTGGCCAACTCATGGTTTGTACAAGCTTATGATAGTAACTGGTATGCATTGAGCACTTTGTGTTCAATGTGAAGGATATTCAAGAGCAAACCAACTAGAGGATATTAACAGAGCGAGACTACCTCAATGGTTCATCCTAATACTTGGTGATGAGCAGTGTTTGCTGACTCGTGCAAGTTTGTTTAATATGGGTGATGTTTAGAGAACAAAACTAATGCAATGGTTCATCCCACTACTTAGTGATAAGCAGTCTTCACCAACTTGGGCAAGTCCACTCGGACTCTCCTGTTTCACTTGGGTTTGGCAGGGTGCCGGGCTTGTAACTTCCGCTAACTCAGGGGTTATATGAAAATTTGTAATTTTTTATCGAAGGCTTTCTGTTTGAGCCCAAATTTTTCTCGTAGATTCATTTTTTGCAAGCTATACCATTAAATAGATTAGATGTGTGCAAAAGCATCAAATTTGATGGATCGGAGAGATTGAAGATGTCGACCTAGGTCAAGCCAAATTTTGGAAAATTGTGATTTCTTCGCAAGGATCGGTTAATATTTGATTAAATTTGTTCCCTACACATAATTTTGGGTTCTTCATCCCATCATCCCATCATTGACTCCTTTTGTTGAAAATAAAAGGAATACATTTTATTGCATTTGATGGAGAGAACTGTCATATCTTTTCTTTAATCCTTATTTGTCTTATGTCTCTAAAAGGGCAATATTGTCCATAAATTATAATTGGGTTATTACTTAATGTTACTAGAGGGGTAGAGGTCACAAGTGACCCCTAAGCCGCTCACGTTCCTTCTCTCTCTCTATTTCTCACACGCCTCTCACTGTTTCCCTTCGTCATTATCTTTATTTTCTTTTCTCTCCTCTCTCTAAATCCTACCAAATTGTTTTTCCTCTACTTTAATTTCAACTTGGTATCAGAGCCCGACAATTAGTAACAGTATTGCAACAGAGGTCGATCTTTAAAAAGGTGTGCAAGATCTTTGTTTAGGGCTAATGTCATCCTTTGGGTTAGATTATATCATCATGCTGTAAAACCCCATTTAACTTTTTTTTTCAGTAGTATCTGTTCCAATGGAGGGGAGTATCTGTTCCAATGTTTGATGAATTAGGGTTTGTATGCTCCAATCAAATAAGTGCTGTTAATGTTGTTGCCCTTCAGGTGTTGGGGGGCTCTTCAGAGATTGCCAGCGAAATGTTGTTCTCTTCACCTTCTTTGTGCACTTTGGGACCTTTGACTCCCAAAATGCTGAAGCTTCGGCTCTTCTTTTGGGCTTGAGATTTCGCAACCCTTCCTGGGGCACTTGTCTGATTGTGGAAGGAGACTCTTTGAACACCATATCTTGGGCAAGTGGCTTGTCCCCCCACCTTGGCAACTGTCTTCCATTTTTTATGAAATTACCCGTCTTTGTAGGGATACGAGCGTCTTATGGCAGCATACTTAGAGTACGTCCAACGATCTCGCAGACCTACTGACGAATGAGGGTGTTAGCTTACATATGGATTTCAGGCCAGGTCCAACTCTTTTTTTATTTTGGACCACAGCCACTTTAGATAGCCCGCCTTTTATTTTTCCTTTTCTCACTGTAAATCTTGTCTGTAGGGCGAATCTTATGAGCCCATCTGCATGTAATTGGTTGATGTATTTTTTACTGATTGCCACCCAGTGAGGGTGCTTTGAGTCCCACACCTTTTGTAATCTCTATCTTTCTCTAGTAATACAATGTTAACAATTATATAAAAAAAAAAATGTTGTTTTTGATGTTTTTCTGGAAAAAAGGTAGTGTTATCATATCCGAGGTGTAACCGGATCTGTAAAATCTTTTATTTGAAGAAATCCAAGGGTATAACTTGATTTCAATTGTTGATTAAGATCTGAGGGTGTAACCGGATTTTAACTACCGTAGAGAATATCTCTACAGGCATGAAATATGGAGTCATCTGGACCCCTAATCATCATAGTCAGGTTTGATGAAACCAACTATTTAGAGTTGACCAGGTCGATTAGACTATTTTTGGGTGGAAAGAAAAAACTAGGGTGCATTGACGGCTTTTTGGAAAACCCTGACTTGAAGGATGATAAATATATAGATTGGGAGGCTGAAGATATGGCTATTATGAATTGGCTACAATTTTTTTTGCAACCTAATGTGGAGCGATCCTTTATGAACTGGAATACCTTTAAAGAATTATGGGAGGCAGTCTTTGACTTCTATTCCCAAAAGAAAATATTGCAAGGGTTTATAAATTGGAGCAGCAAATCATTGATTTTAAACAGGGTGACTTGTCACTCGAAGACTGTTATGCTCATCTTTTGGATGAATTAAGCGAGCACCAGCCCATACAGTGTTCTTGTGCAAAGGAACATGGAGAGAGACTGGAACAAAGGAAGATTTTTGATCTTTTGAGGGGAGTTAATGGATAGGATGAAACAATTAGGGCAAATGTTATCGGCGGTGAGACTTCGCCATTAGTTGGTACTGTTTTCTCCCTTCTTCAGCGTGAAGAAACTCGACGCATGATAATGGCATTGTCGAGGTCGGGGTGGTGGACGTGGCTGTGGAAACCTCACATCTAATGAGGACAATTTTTTTTTTTTTGAATAAGGGTAATTTCTATATATATTTTAAAAATTACATAGTAAAAATCTGGAGATTGTATCCCACAAATTGGGTGCTCAAACTACAACTATAATTAGATTGAAGAAAAGAGAGAGACTTATTGAAAAAAAAGAAAAGAGAGAGAGTTATTGAAAAAAAGGAAAAGTGAGAGATCTAATACTGAGGAGAGAAACTAAAAATGAGGCTGTACAACCAAAAAGAGATCCTAATGCAAGGTGCTACATGATCCATTTGCATACAAAAAGAGACTTGAGAGAACGTGTGGAGACGTGAGTGGTCTACCATGCTTGAGCGAGTGACAAGTGATGAACTATTGGAGCGAATCCTTGGCTTCAAGATCCATGGTGAGATCCATAGATAGAAAAAGGCAAGGGCTCCTGTTGAGCAGGGTGAGTGGATATTGTTCGTCGAGCTTTTGGGGAGTTCTTAGCCAAGGAGCTGTCCGCAAATAAGGAGAAACTTCTATCCTCATAAGTATCAACTTGGTAGATTTGAAGAAGGTCATGTTGGAGGAGAAAGAGGGTATAGGGGAAAGATAAGGGAAGAAAGGAATTGTAGTGGATGAAAAGCGAGAATGGGGAAAGGGGGGGGGGGGGGTGGAAGGGGAAGGGGGAGAGAAGAAGAGGGAGATGTAGAGATTGAGTAAAAGTAGAGAAGCAAAGATAAGTCAGAAGAAGAGGCTTGTTAGGCTGCAGTAGGATTATAGGTGAACTAATTAAAAAATAAATGGATAAGGGGCTATGTTAAGAGAAGGAGAGAGAGAGAGAGAGAGAGAGAGAGAGAGAGAGAGAGAGAGAAGAACACCACTACTTATTTTTCTTTCTTTTCTTTCTTTCTTTTCCTTTCTTCTCTTCCTTTACGTTTCCGTTTGTCTNTGTAGTGAGTAAGAAGAAGAGAGAGAAGAA